GGCGTGTTCTTCTAATGAACGGCCCCATCATCCCTGCGGGTTGTAATCCATGCCGGAACATAAAAGGTGCTGACTGCGGCATAAATATTCACACCTCCGCCACGCTCCGCCAAGCGCCGCTCCGCCACGCCTCCCGAACTCTGCGGCCTGACCGCTGCCAACAACCATTACTAGATGCGAAAAGCGACCCGTAATCCCCGGGCCGTTTGGTGGTCCCGCTGTGTACCGCGCCCGCGGGCCGCCGTCGGGCCCCGCCGCCGCCGTGTTATTTTCCACCACGCCTACGCCGCTGTTCCTGGAACAGGACTGCTCCTGCGGAGTGCGTGGATGTGCGACGCCCCCCCCCCCCTCCATTCAACGGCGCGTTGTATATCCGTACACGGTGAAACGGGAATTCTTCGGAATTAGGAAGGCGTTCGGATCCCTGGAAATTTTTCTCTAGCGTGAGCGAGAGAGCCATGGGAGAGAAAAGAGAGAGGAAGATGGATAGATAGAGGGGGGGAGAGAGGGAGAGAGAGAGAGAGAGAGAGAGAGAGAGAGAGAGAGAGAGAGAGGGGCTGGGGGGAGTTAGGGGAAAAGAGAGAGCTCATCCCGCATCACGTTAAACTTCAAGTTTAATGGAATATTTTACAGCGAACGGGGGGCCAGTTCTGCCTGCTCCGTCGCCTGCCGCCGTTCAGCCTGGTTACTTTTTCACTTCCCTCTCGTTTCGGTTGGACTTTGTCCATCACGGTGTTGTACCGCGGGCGAGATATCGTGCGAAAAGGGGAAACGCAAAGCCGACATTCAACTTGCAAAGCACACCCCCTCATAAGCCGTGTTTGTATAGTGTGTTTGCGGACGCAGGGGCTGATGACGTCAGTGCAACGAGGCTGGCCTCACCGCCTGCAGACGGAGCCGGAAGTGGGAGAGCACGCGACGCACTCACGTGAACTTCCCCTTGCTCACTGCTCTGTCTCACTCTTCTCTCTCCCCCCTCTCTCTCTCTCTCTCTCTCGCCCCCGTTTGCCTCCCGCACACTCTGGTAATACCCGGTAATACTGAGCTGTGAGACACACCAATTGAACGAGGTGTGTTCGTATTACGCCGGGCCCCGTGCCTTAACATTGTGCACGGGTTAGCTGAGCGAAGTGCATTAAAATAACAGAAGATGTAACAAATATAGAACAAAACTAATGAATGTGGGTTCGCCTAGTAGGTAGGCAACCAGTTCTCTGCTCTTCGAACGTAAGCGATAGGGGAGGGGGGGGGGGGGGGGGTCGCTTCAATTATTCTATCTCTTTAGTGAGCCACCTAATAGATGGGGAATTTTTTCTGTTTGTTTTCTGATATTTTTTTGATTTTTTCTATTTTTTTCCTGTTTTTTCCAGATATTTTTTTTTGAAGTGTGTACCCTTTTTTTAAAAAAGTCAAAAAGTCAAAAAAAAGTGTGTGCCCTTTTCATTAAGTGAAGTATACCCCACCTCCACCCTCAACTCCTCCTGCTAGTCGGACCTACAACTGGTCATTGGTCACTGTAATCACCTCCAGGGTTCAAATCCCTTACAACCCCCCCCCCCCTCTCACGACAGGAACTTTTAGTGAGTAGTACACATGTTCTGTATTTGAAGCAAGTAAGCAAGCATTGATTTCATCATTTAGTAGCCTAGACTGGCTCAGCCTAGATGCAACCTAAATCCACCAACTCCTCATACTCTGCTTTGATACAGTAAATTGGATTTAGGCTCATGTGTCGTTCGCTGCCAAATCGACGCAGACGAAGAAACGGCGTCGACAAGACTCTACTGTCATAACCAAAAACATTTAAAAGTTAAAACACGTTGCTGCAAACAGGCTAAATTCACAACTTTATACATTCAGTAGTTGTCAACCCTTGGCTGTATGCACCAAAACAGCAGAGAAGTAGTCTTGCTTCTTCACCGTTTGTTTTCTTAACACTAATAATCTCGCCTGACGGGACTAAATCCACCGTAAATCCACCATATCACTACTTCTGTTTTTCGACCTGATATTAGCAGGGAAATTGCCGTCTATGGACAATGGGTTTCTTACAGTGATTGGACCTCCAGCGCTTCTGCTACTGGAGGGCGTTCAAAGAGGGTGGTTTTGGAGGTTGCAATGCAAGGGTGGTGGGTGGTGGTGGTGGGCGTCACATAGCCGATGTGTATTAAATTTCTCTTTGCAGAACTGATTCCGGTTGTCCGGACTGCCCGAGCTGCACCGGCGACGGGGCCCACCGGCTGGCAAAAGGCTCCGGTGGCTGTGGGCCACTAGGAAAATGGGCCATGCTGGACCGGGGGTAGAGGTGGGGTTGGGGATCGGCGCTGCTCGGCTACAAGGTTGCCCGCTGGATCGTTTCAAATGCAAATATCACGGCTGGCCAGCCGGCCCGGGCCAACTTCCCCCTGCTTCGTCCTCTCATCCCTCCCCTTCGACCCTCTGCCCCCCTTTCTGGCTCTCCTGTGCGTGCGTGCGTATGTGTGTGTGTGTATGTGTGTGTTGCGCTTGGGGCAGTAAGAGGCCGCCTGATAAGCACAAGGGGGCGTGCGCCTCTGCTCGCCATTATTAAAGCCACGTGTGCAGGCCAGTGGCGTAGCGATGCAGAGAGAGAGAGAGAGAGAGAGAGAGAGAGAGAGAGAGCTTCTCTGATGAGGCGGAGCAGGGCGCGGTGCGGAGCGCGGGGCAGGGCGGCTCTCGTCGGACAGTGATGGATCACACAGAGACACCCCCAGAGGGCCCGACACCAAGTGGCAAGCTGCGCCGCGGGAGCGCGCGAGCGTGTGCACCAGCCAGTAACTTCAAAAACTACCAGATTACCAAAATTTTCAAACTAGTACTAATTGTTTTTACTATTTTCTTCATCCTTTTTTTTGTCTTTTTGTTTTGATGGTACTAGAACCGAGAAAACATATCTGTTGGTGAACAAACAAAACACCGCGTCTCTTTTCTGTATTGAAAGTCTCCTAACTGGCGTGACTCTCCCACTCCATTCCTCACTGTCGTGCGTCGCGACTCATTATTTCTACGCAGCTTTGGCAGTCGTGCAGTATTTATTCACGGCCTTTGGAGTAATCCCGATAACTTCGGGAGGGTTTGAGCGATTAGAGCACGCGGCCCTTGTTTTCAAACTGTCGAGCGTGGTAACCCCGAGTTTCACCGCCCCCTTTTTTAAAACCATTTTTCCCCTCCTTCCCGCGGCCCTGACGGCTGATGCGCCACACCACACACGGCCTTCCCCACCATCATTAATTTGCCAACAACAAACTTTGCGCCGCCGAGCGGGGCGCGGCCGTTCGTTGGAATTGGAAGGCCGCTACGCGATGCGCTCTCCACACACTCCGCCCCAAAGTAAAACGTCAAAGTCATCCCCTACTGCTTGCTGTTGCTGTATGCTCTCTTTCTAAGAGCACCAAACGGTACACAAGCGGAACGGCACGAAAAATGTTTTAAAAATAAATCAAATCTTTTCCTGCGTCTTTTTCTCTGTGGTGAGGCCTCTCTAGTATGCGTTTGGTCGTGATGTGTCCGTCGGCGGCCATCGACGTGAAATGCTCGCTTACTTCCGAAGGGTAGTCGGGAGGAAAGTGCACGAGTTATTGTACCTTACGTTAGTGCTGGGTACATCCCTTTCCACCCTTCGCGTCGTTCTTCGCGCGTCGTTAAAGATAATTGTACGTTATAACAGCGATTTTATGCTGATTTTCTACTGTTCCTACGCTTGTTAATACGCTGTAATAATACGTTAAAGCGGCATTAGTACAGGCTTAGGATGTACGGTTTAGTACGCCAGTGAGTCCGCGGATTCCCCTTCAACTCCTCGTCGATGACTCAGACACTACACAAATCAGCGAACCCCCAGGCCTGACTCTCTCTCTCTCTCTCTCTCTCTCTCTCTCTCTCTCTCTCTCTCTCTCTCTCTCTCTTCACCTCTCTCCCTCTCCCTCTCCCTCCCTCTCTGACACACACACGTAATCACGTAACAATATTCAGCCCTGGAGCTACGCTACGCCCCCCCCCCATCCCCCCGACTCGACACCAGCCCAGCCTAGCACATGAGCCACGGTCTGGTACGCTCTTGTGCTTTGTGTGTTTCTGCGTATCACGAAAACGAGCCGCGCTCTTTCTCCTGCATCGAATAACACATCACACAGACCGCTGAAAATGGTGGATAACAAATGATTGAATGAAATGTATTATATTTGGTTTCATTCGCATGGCATTGGTTAGCTAGTAGTGTTGGAGTTCTGGTGGCCGATGGTACGGTACGTAGTCTACGAAAGGAGGGATGAGTGGGAACGAGCAGGCGAGAGGAGACGGCGAGAAATGGAGAGAGGGAGAGAGGTGAAGAGAGGGAGAGAGAGGTGAAGAGAGGGAGAGAGAGGTGAAGAGAGGGAGAGAGAGGTTAAGAGAGGGAGAGAGAGGTGGAGAGAGAGAGAGAGGGGAGGATGGGTGGGTGCGCCGAAGGGTGGAGGGATGCGTCGTTTCTTGTCACGGCGAGAAAGATGGTTGATATGTAGCGCTCGGGGGACCATTAGAAGCCGTCTGTCTGGCTCGTCCCCGTAGGCCTGGAGAGCGCCGTGGCGCCAGCAGCCCACTCGCGCAAACGCTCTGCTGCACCGCTAAATATGCTCCCGCAACGCCGCGTGGGCACAGGAAAGAATGAGATCAGAGTGGGACATTTATTTTTTTTATTTTCTGTCGTGTTGTAGATCTTCGGAGCAGTGTCCTGCTGGTCTGCGGTGATGTGAATAATGCGAGGAATAATGCTTAGGCGCCTCAAAAGTTTTGTGGAACAAGGAAAGGCGATTGTTTTTCGGAGCGAATTCGTTTGTGAGGTTGCTCAGTGCCGTGGACTAGCTTGGCACCATCACGCGCAAACCTGTCTTACCTCCTTGTTATTTCAGGTGAAATTACCCTTCCTAAGCGCGCGTGGCGTGGCTGAATTCCTGTAGCGTGAAGGGACGGTCGTTGTTAAGGTTGCTGTTGTTCTGTTCCAGGCTACGCTGCTCTGGCCATGGGGGCCGCCGCCCGCTCGCCCTCCTCCTCATCCTCGCCCTCGACCGGCGTCAGCTCAGAGAAGGGCTAGCCCCGGCCCGGCCCCGGGGCCGCGCCCGCCCCCCGCCGCCCGTCAGGGCTCTGCAACTCTTTGCCCAGCCGAGGACCCTCTGCTGCGATGTAGCAGAGATTGGCCCGGTATGTACCAAAATAATGGCGAAAAATGAAATTTGATATGTAATGTTCTGCGAAGGGAGGTTAGTCAGTCATGATGTAATTTACATAGTGAAGAATAGTGGAGCCGCGAGGAAAATGATCCTGGAGAGAAAGAGTCGGAGCAGGGTACAAGTGTTGTGGTGGTTGGTGGTGCGCTGGGGTCGGACGGGGTGGGCTTGGACGAATGAGGAAATTCGGCCAAGGGGTGGGCTTGGGCACTCTAGTAACAACATACGGACGGTGGGGTGGTCTCTGACGGAAACCCTGCTCATTATTGTGTTTGAAGAGAGAGGGACAGAGAAAGCAGTGAGTGAGTGAGTGAGTAGTAAATCTGATTGAGAATGAGTGGTCAGTTTTCAAAGTTTACAACATAGCTTCTCCAACCGCGATGCATGCGGGGCCGTTCATTACACTGTTAATGCAGTGAATGGTGTGAGGCAGTGCGATAGGGAGCAGGGGGTCTTTTGTAGTGTTACGGTGAACCGTAGAGGGAGAGAGGAAAAAGAGAAGCGTGAAAAATAAGGGACCGTCTAAAAGATTCTCAATCAAGAATCGATCTTGAAAGCAGATGATACAAATTTAAGCATAGGTATGTTTTCTTATATTCTCCCTATTTAGGTGTCATTTGGTTATGGCTGCTTGTTACTTGCAATCTTGTAATTCAGCGTACTAGCGGCGTAGAGGAGGAGACAAGGGGCGGGCACAGTGTGGCCGGGCCGGTGGCCCAGTATTGTTGGGCAAGGACGCGGCCTGCTCGTATTGTTAGGTAGGCTAGGGATGCTAGGGATAGCGCCCAACGCGACACTCAGCCAGGCACTCACTATCACTCGGTCCCCCAGCGCCAAAGAAATTGTTTTCTGGTCTGCGCTTTGTTCTCTGTAAGTACACATGGATAGTCAAAGCTAGCTGACACCTTAAAGTTACTTAGATATTCTTCATGTTTCTTCAAAAGGCTTTTAATAAGGTATCATCTGCTAAAAATCGTACCGTTGCACGCCAGGTGGGATTTGGAGTATCTGGGCGTCGCATAGTCGCCCGCGGGACCGCGTATTCACACCGGTGTTGGAGAGGACGGGGAGAGGAGGTGACGGGGCTGACACCCCGGCCCCGGCCCGGCGCGCCTGTCTGCGAGGCAGTATGTCATCCCTGCAGCGCAGACCTGTCCTGTCGGCGTGTTGATTAGGCAGCCGAACGTCCGCGGGGGATACAGTCTGGCATATGGCAAAGCAGAGCGAGCGAGCGAACGGATTGAGCGGCGGACAAGTGTGTTTTGTTTTGATTTTGTGCCGTCGTCATTTAACCGCGCTCTCCCTGTGACGGCTGGTGTGTTTTCCTGTTTGCAGCCACGGGACAGTGATGCCTTGCCCGGATCATGCAGCGATGGCTGAGGCACCGCTGCCGCTCCGCCTGTCCCCCGGCGCCGCCCCCGAGGCGTGCCGCCCCCGCCCCCGACACCTGCCCCGCTTGCTCCGGCGATGCCGGTGCCACGGCGGGCCGCCCCAGCCGGCCGCCGCCCCCGGGGGCAGCACCGCCCCCGACCCCGCACCTGCAGAGGCAGCTGCTGCAGCTGCTGCAGGTGCTGGCCGTGCTGGCGGTGGCGGCCATGCTGCCTGGCTGCTCGGGCGGGCCGCGCTACTCGTCGCGGATCGTGCAGACCAAGTACGGCTCGGTGAGGGGCGTCATTGTGCAGCTCAACTCGAGAAGACTGGAACCTGTCGAGGTGAGAGAAAATTATATTATTAAAAGAATGCAGAATTTGAAACGTGTCGCTGAATTACAATTCAAAATTTTAAAAGCACTATCACTATGTAACGACTTACAATTCAACGACGAGCAAGATTGTAATAGATGTAAAACATATTTTGTCAATTTTTGTTACGAAATATACCGTAAATTTACGAATGTTTATTTCTTTTCCGCAGGTGTTTCGTGGCGTGCCGTACGCGGCGCCGCCGGTGGGGCCGCTGCGGCTCGCGCCCTCGCAGCCGCCGCCACCCTGGTCCGGCACGCGCCTCGCCGACTCGTTCGGCCCCGTGTGCCCGCAGCGGCTGCCCGTGCCGGACCTCAACAACAAGACGTCGGCGCTGCTGGCCATGCCGCGCGGCCGCCTCACCCACCTCAAGCTGCTGCAGCCCTTCCTGCAGCGCCAGAGCGAGGACTGCCTCAGCCTCAACCTCTACGTGCCCGGCTCTGGTGAGTACGAGACATCCATCCACCCTCTATCCGTCCGTCCGTGCGTCCGTCTGCCCGTCCGTCCGTCCGTCTCCAGACGTTTCTTTCTCTTCCGCTTCCGCTCCGGTGCCAGAGACAGCGACAGCATTTGCGAGGCGACACCCAACGCGGCGATGCTCTTGGCGAGCGCGCAAAAAAAAAGACGCAAAGCAACGGCTTTCGATGCCGCTCCGGTATCGGCCTACTGTCAAACCTGCATCTGCTGCTGCCTTCTCGGCGTTCCAGCTGGGAGGGGCGGAAGGGGAAGGTAAGGGGGGGGGTGGAGGGCTCGGATCTTGTTACCGCCCTGGAGGACTTCAAAGCCGCCGCCGCCACCCCCATGCGCGCGCGACCCCTGCCTGTCCCTCCTTGGCACTGCGCCTCTCCCTCCTCGGAGCAGGTGGGAGGGTAGTGACAGGCCTCTCGTACCCCTCCGAGCCCCTCTACACACACCTCTGCTGCCCTCGGCGCCCTTCACCGCCCTGACCCGCAGCATAGGAACCCGCCGGCGCCCTTCCTACCCTACGCCCTGCGCGGCAAAGATTAGAGTGTTTCTGCACCGCTTGATTTAGAACGGGGAGGGGAGGGCAGGGGGGCGAGTGGGAGGCTCTGGATAGGGATTTCATTTTGCTCGCCGTCATCGCACCACCACGCGTTGGGTCGGTTGTGGAGGCG